TCATTAATAACAAAGAACCTTTAACTTTTGAGAAAAAGGTACAACATGAATGGTTCTCATAGCATCACCTCCAAATCTCGTCAACAGCATTGACACACATTGCTCTTTTATTAGGCTGAAATTCTCTTTAGCACTGAATGGTATTCTTATCAGTAAATGTGTGAATCACATGAACCAAATGTTGCATGGCAGATTATGGTACCCTGCAGGAGATTAATGTAACAATACAAATTTTTTCTAAATAAGTGTAGTTCTGCTGGGTAGGTAGGATTTAGATCTGTCTGGTTATTAAAAGGATGAGGGGAGTGGGGAGGAACATGTGAGAAGGAAACTAGAAAAGAATTTCCTACATATAAGATAAAATAATTGTGAGAACATTCTAAAAGTATTAAAGTACGAAGAAGTGAGATGTGTTATGTGAGCAAATGAGACAGTGGAGAATTGCTAAAGGTTCTCTTGAAAATATATAAAATACATAAATAAGCAGAATACACTCATTTTCATGTGTTGTATAAGCTCTGCATGTAAACCATCTTCTCTCTGAAGCCCACGTCATGCTCCTCACACCCATTCCCCAGCGCCTAGACTGTTGTGGGCGCTCAATAAATATTAAACAATCAAAGCACAAACTGTTGTCAAAAGTTTGGAATTCACAGGAATCAATAGTATTGTTATCATTTAACATTTATTGAGGGTCAACAGCATGACTTAGTCCACATGTGCAAATAGGTTATTTTATAATCACATATTAAGCAGATAGTTAAATACAATTTGTATTAACTAAACTTTCAATTTTACTCCATTGAACTGAAATGTAAAAATTTTTTTAAATAATGTTGACACACCATGAAATATAAACATTAATTATTTAAATAAATAAGTTTCTCTCAGGGAAACCATTACTTTTAGATATTATTAACATTCACTTGAAAGTATGAGATAAATCTACGGTAAGTACACATCGCATATTCTAAATAGACCAGTGCATGTACAAAGAATAGAAGAATCTGAAAAGGTGAAGGAAGACAATGACAAATACACAAAGCTGTAATAGCATTTGGGTTTCCCAGCTGTTATGACAACTTAAAACACTAATACAATTATGTAGGGTACTGTTTTTTACAAAATAGAATCAAAGGCAAAAAAGACAGAAATTCTTCAGGTGAACACAAATTAGCGTGCCTCTGAATTTAGAAACATTTCTTAATTAAAGGAAAGATAGAATTTTTTATTACAGGAAATGAACTGTATTTGATACATTTATGATCCACATGCTCCAGTTTTATCCTGAATAAAATGATTACTAGTTGTGCTCAGATTTATTCTTGTGGCTAATAGGCACTTAAATCCTATTTAATCTTTTTTTCATGAATATTTTTCTGTCGCGTTTCTACTTAATGATTTTGAAGTGATTTTTAATTAGTTAAGAGGATGGAAAACTATACTTAATATTTCTGAGGTGAAACTTTCAGTTTAATTTTAGATACTGAACTATCTATATGTACTCAAGTTTATAGTATGTTTTTCCCTAGCATTTAAATCTCAGAATCTTAGAAATGAAAGTCCTTCTAGATTAGCCTTCCCTTAAAAAAGAATAGCCTCTATATCTTGATGTAAGGAACACACTGCTTAAACACTTTGTTGAATAGAAAATTTTTACATTTGGAAGGACTAAGAGATCATCTAATTCTGCTCCACAGTTGTAAAAATAAGAAAAACAAAGGTAGGCCTAATGATTCTATATTTATACTTATATATTGGCTTAACTGGGCAATTGTTTAAATTTCTCTTCCATTTTAAGTTTTTTTTAAAAAATTAAAAAAATATTACTTTTTCTTTACCTTTTCACTGTTGGATTTAAGTCAGTTTGAAGGAAGAAGATTAAAAACAGGGAGATACTGGGACTCCAATCTATAATTCAGATCTTTTAAAGTTAATTGTCTTGACTGGTGTCTTTCCCTGCCCAAGTAAGTAGCAAGCCCCTGGATGCTTCTTTAGAGTGACTCTTTTGCTCATATGGCTAGTAACAAACAAATATTACTAAATGTTTTCTTCTGAAAGAAATCAAGATTGAAAAAGAGAAAAGTAAATGGGATTTAGGAGGCAGATCAATTTTGAAACTGAATAACAAGGAGGAAAAGGTACACTATAAGAAATTAAATGCCAACAAATGAATAAATTAAGCTTAATGAAACATGATGCACTCTTTCTAGATGTAATATACAAATATCTAAAGATGAATCCTCCTATAGTAGCACACAGCACCTAGCAAGTGTTAAAATGTTTTCTTTGTCTTTCCTTAGCTCTCACTATGAGGATAGCAACATTTACCGTGTTAAACATTAGTATCTCTTGATGTTTCTAGGTACTTGCTTTCTGAACAAGGAGGAATAGTTAATGGTGTGTGTGTGTGTGTGTGTGTATATGTATGTGTATGTTTGTGTATGTGTGTGCACCTTTGAAGTGGAGAAATTATAAAGTGTTTCTTAATACTCAAAATTCTAGTCCGGCCAATTTAAGATCTTCACAAAAAGAAGAACTAAAAAACACGGTTAATAACGAGTTAGAGATAAAATCGAGTTACATTTTTGGACTTTTGCAGAAGTTAGATTAACTAAATTTCTACTTCTTATGTGATATGAGGTCTAGTTTACTAAATTACATTAACAAAATTCATTCCACCTTTCACTATATGAATTTCCCATAACGATGTAAAGTTTAGCTTAATCAATGTTTCCTAAGTACAGTTATAATTCAATCTAAGTCCAGAGGTTCAATATACACAATTTTATATAGATCACCAAGTATATTTTAAATCTAGTTAAGAATTTTGAAAGTCATGTTTTTCCCCAGTACAAGATCACGATGCAAACTTAAATGAAATAAAATGACTCTTCAAGAACTATTTAATTGTACTTCAATGCATTATAAATTAGTTTTAGATTATTTATACTTCTGAAGATAACTAAACTGCATAAGGAAGTACACAATAGATTTAAGAGCCTCATCTTATGAATAAATTTTAGAATACTCTGATGAAATCTGTAAAATGTCATTGACTTATATTTACATTAACTTTTGATTTTTTAAATCACAAAATACATTTTTCATATCAATTATTAGTCATACATATATCATCTCAAAAATATGCAATTTATCCAAAAACTCTATTTCTTATGATATCTCTGGTTGAAAAATATGAGGCCATTGCTTTACAATATTTAAAACCAAAATGATTTACTAAGTCAATATAAAAAGAGCCATTAAGAGAATCTCATATTTTTACATAAGCTAAGAGCCTAACCTTTTAAGAAAAAAGGTATTTTTAATAAAAAAATGAATTATAAGATTATCTGAATAAGTAAGTTCACAACTCTAAAAGCCATTTCTAGTCTCCTACCTAGTTGAGGAAACATTATAGAATTAATGAAACTGACACCAACATGCAAGTAAGAAGAAATAAACAATCTGTGTTTAAATTACTTATCTCTTAGGTACTATTATTAGTGTGGGCATTTTACATTCTAGCCAATCTTCTCTTAATATGCTGTGGCTGTAAAAGCAAATCTACAAATGCCAAAGATGAGCAATCAGCACCTTTATATAGAAAGGAAAAACTGTGAAGCTTAGTGAGATCAAAGTGGTTTGACAGTTTATCTCACCTGTAGTAAAGCTGATTTGATAAGGAAATATGCCTAAGTAAGGACTCTGCAATTATCTAGGAATTTATCATTCTTCATATCCTCCCCCGTGTTTTCTCATTTGAGCTCCACATCTTGTTGAATAGACAGGTCAGATATAATTAACACCCTTTTATTTTATTTTATTTTTCCAGAAGAAATTTAGGCTCAGGGCCTTGCCTAAGTGAACAAGTTAAAGTTGGGATGTAGTGCTCCTATTCCTCTACTTTATATTTCAGAGAGGGAAATACCCACATCAAAAAGAAGCTGACAGAAATATTCTATTGAATTGTAAAATTTCACAGAGCCCCCAGAAGCCAAAATTAATTTGAAAACTTTTTCAGTGTAATTGCAATCTGATTTTATTTTGAAAAGCCCAAGGAAATAAATTTTCAACCAATCATTTAACTTAATTGAATCCTTAACCTTAATTTACTTATTTGAAATGCGAGAAATTAAAGGATTTTCTTGATATATTTATATCAAAAATAAATTTTTGATATTACAAATTTAATTACTCCCAAATTTAAAAGGAAAAATTATTTTGACATTCTTGACAAAATTATTACTAGTTCTGATTTTATTACAATAAGTAATAAATATTATATTAGATGAAAAGCCAAAGACTGGGGGAACCATAATTAAAGTTATTAGCACTCTGAGCTCTAACACAAGGCCCAACATCACTTTAAATGTTTTACCTCTACTGTACTTTTGCATTTTTCTCAAGCATACTCTAGAGTTATGTATTTATTATATAGCTGTATAAATAAAAATAAAATGCATTACTTGTAACATTCTGATTTTTAATATTGAGGTTTCAGACCTCTTGCGAGAATCACTTGCTGAAGTCATAGTATAAACTCAAATAATTTACTTTTGGTGTTTTTTTTTTTAAGTTTTACATATTATTTTTAAAGCATGAGAAGTTATTTTTGCATAAATAGAATTATGTCATCTTTATTCTTTAAACTCTGATCAATCAGGTGGTGTTAAAACCACAAATCAAACAGAAAAATGTCTAACAGTTACAGATCATTTCCTTATTCCCAATAATCTTCAGCATTTTCCCTGATATAATTAAGAAGTCTGTGGAGTTTTCCTGCTCTGAACTTATACTCAAAGTTTAGTTATACAAAAGAACAAAAACCCAGACTGCTGCCTCACATTCTCCCTGGCACAGAAAAGCATGCAAGGACACTGATAAAGAGCAATAGATTTAACAGTTATTGTCTTCCTCCTGTCTGAATCCAGTGCTTTCCTCCTCATGTTGTTGTCTTTCTAAAGAAGATAATGTCAACCTCCTTCATTTTTTTTTACCTTGCTCCACTGTCTTGGTTGTTTTCTCTTCCTTCTTTCCAGGTACTGCTGCAAAGCAGAGATAAGGTTTAAATAAAAGTTCCAGATAGAAATACTGCTTCTGCTCAAAAAAAAAAAAAAAAAAAACAAAAACACAACCATTTTGTAATTCATTCATTGCCAGCTTTTTCTTCTAAAAATTTTAAAACCTTTCAACATTTCTCTTTTCTCTGTAAACAATTGAAACTATCTTAAATCTAATGTTAAAGAATTAGAGGAAAAAGAAATAACTCCTTGCCTTCTTCTGACTAGTTTTTCCACTCTTTTCTACCTTCTTCTTTTATATTCTGCTTTGATAAACAGGCTCTACAAAGAATTCTACTTGACAAGACTATGATTAATTGACTTACAATTCAGGTTATGGCTTGGAGTCATTCAGTGTCTTGAAAATGTCAACCAAGATGTTCCTTTGAAGTTTTAGCTTAACCAACTGAAAGAATAGTGTGGTCATGCTTGAGATTCATTTAAATATTAAAGGCATCCCAAGTCATAAGTAACCAAAAGAGAAATAAGATTATCATTTAGGTGCTGTTTAACTGGAACTATGCTTTCTCTAAGAGTTATTGCTCTCAGTAGAGTACTCGCTGTTTACCTATTTATACATCAAAACAGTAGAAATTATTCATACAAAATTAGTGTTCCCCACTGAAATAAATGACTCAAGTGAGGATCTTCAGAGGACACTAGCAGCCACTTGATGAAAGATGAATGGGGGACTGAATACTTCCATTACAACCAAGTACCACCCCACAGAGTCACGAGGGGAAAAATGCAACTTTGAAACGAAGAATGTGATTGTCACCAACTTAACCACTGATGAACCTTAGAACCATTCATTCAGAATGGGACATCCAAACAGTCTGGCTTCTTAATGATATGCAGTGATATATATATATATATATATATATATATATATATATATATATATATATAATTTTGCCCTCTGAAGTATTCCTGCCAAAGCATTCAACTATCCAACTGGAATCCAGTTAAGCCAGATTTAGCTTTCAGTTTAATCAAAACAGGATGTAAAAAACATATTGAATAATATTCTGAAGAAATCATCAAAGCAATCAAAAATGTCTACAGTATAACTGGCTATGATCTCTTCAAAAAACAAAAAACAAAACAAAACAAAACAAAGCAAAAACAAAACCAATGTCATGAACTAGAGAAGGGAGGGAAAGGTAGCATAACTTTTTTCAGAAATTTGCTAAATTTACTCATTAATTATAATAGTTCAGCTGTAGATCCTTTTAATTGTTTCAAGTAGATAATAATTTCATTTGTGAATAATGAGTTTTATTTCTTACTTTTCTATTTTTATACATATTATTTCTTTTTCTCACCTTATTGCACTTGCTAAAATCTCTAGTACAATGTGTAATAGAAGTGGTAATAACAGACATCCTTGTCTTATTCTAATTCTCAGATGGAATTTTTTTCATTTTTTCTGAGAATGATATTTGCTAGTGGTTTTTGTGTATCTTATCAGATTAAGGAAGCTTCTTTCTACTCTAGTGATGAATTATATTAAATGGATCTACTATGATGAATGTAATTTCCCTTTATTCTATTATTCTGGTTAATTACATTGTTGTTGTTTTTCTTGTTTTTCAAATTGCATTCCCTAAATAAAACCAACTTTATCATGTTTTATCGTTCATGCACATTATCAGACTTGATCTCCTAATATTTTGTTAGGGTCTATGTCTCTATGTTCACAAAAGAAGTTAGCTTGTATATTTTCTTTGTTTTTTAGATCTCCTAATATTTTGTTAGGGTTTATGCCTCTATGTTCACAAAGGAAGTTAGCTTGTATGTTTTCTTTGATTTTTAGTTCTTGTTAGGTTTTGGCATCAAGGTTATTCTAGCTCCATAAAATGAGTGAATGCTTCCTCTTTTCCTATTCCTGGAAGGTTTAGGATAAGATTGGTGCTAAATTTTCCTCAGATGTTTGAAAGAATTCACCAGTGAAGCTATCTGGCTAGAATTTTCCTTGGGGAAGAATTATAGTTATGGATTCAAAATATGAATTTCATTACAATTTTCAGATTTATTGGAAAATATTCCTAGTTTTAATTTTCTATAGGATCTGTAATGATGCCTCCTTTTAATTTTCTGACATTGATGTTTTGTGCCTTCTCTTTTTTCTTAATAAGTTTTCATAAGAATCTATATATTTTATTAGTTTTTATGGCAAGTCTAATTTTGACTTTTTTGCTTTCCCTATTGTACAACTTAATTTATTACTTCATTAGCTTTTATTATTATATTTTTTTTAAATTTCTCTTCCTCTACTTTCTTTGGGTTTAATTTTCTATATTAAAAAATATTGCCTTTCCAGATACTCAATTTTCAGCCTTTCTTCTCTAATGAATATTTGTAAAGAGTGTAATTTTCACCCTATCACTGTTTAGCTACACCCCAAGTTTCAATGTAATGTTTTTATCATACATTAGATCAACATATTTCCAAATTTTACTGTCATTTTTTCTTTGATACATGGGATATTTAGACATGTATTGCTTACATTTTTACACTATCTAGTACCGTTTCTAACATAGCAAGTGACTGATATATTTTTGCTTAGTGATTAAATGTATTAGTTGACAATATGTCTTAATAAGAAATGTTCTGAGTTGAGAGGGAAAATGGGTAAGCTTTGGTGTTAGTGATTTTCCAGGAATAGGATGGATTTTAGGTGTAGCCAGTAAGATGTGAAGAAAGACAAAGGAGCGGGGAAAGCCTTAGGTACGCCTAGAGGAAAGTGAACAAGTTTAGCTGAAGCGGAATGTTCCCACAGAGGAGATATGGAATAATTTAAAATAAAAGACGAGGCTAATTACAGAAGGCCTTGAATTCCAAACTAGAGTCAGACTTTACTATGCATACTTTAAATAAAGGAGCTAGTAAGATGTGTGGTACATTAATGGAAATGAAACACTGAAAATTTGTAATTATAATAGAGCCCATGGGTATATAGTCTTATTCAAAATTATTTTACCCAGAAGAATCATTATAAATATTGTATAGCAAATATGTACTTTTCAGTTTATTTTATTTTAATCCTCTGAAAAGTAAATGTCTCTCAGCAAACAATTTGAATGTGACTTACACACAAAGACCAAGTTTTCTTTTCAATGATGGGTTCCACATTCATATTAAACAGAGGAGGAGAGTCCCCTAAAGGGGTTTTTTTGTTATTCAGAAAAGGTCACTGAAAATGCTGATTATCTGTACAGAAAAGAACACATTTTGCATGAAATGATGATCCTTTCATTTCTACTTCTGATGTAAAATTCATCAAGCCTAATTCTATGGAGAGTAAACTTTAGAAATAAATAGCTCTTGTAAGTAAGTGGATTTTCTAACTGCCTGGAATCAAAAGAAGACCTCAATCAATTTCTTTTTCTATGCTACAGGGTACCTGAAATCTCCTTTGGTGCTGAGAGAAATTCTCTTTGCCCTACATTTGGAAGGGTTTACTTTGGAGGGGGGGAAGCAGATTTATATTGCACTCCTTCAGAGATCCTGACTAATATAAAGGAAACAAAGTCACTAACACTCTTAGAAAGTAATGCCTGGATTAGAGATAGTCCTGAGGTAAACTGTGAGACTGAGAAACTGGTTTTTGTAGTTCCAGGCCTTTATTTCATTATTCTCCTCAATTTTCTTTAGGGACACAGTTCTCCAAAACAATTTAATCTCTCCTTTCTTGACCCTCATCACTCATGAAGGCTCTGATGTGTTCCCATTAGCAGTAGGGGCTTGTACCTAGACTGTGAGGCTTACTTGGAGATAGGGTATGTTAGAATCCTGGTAAAGAAGTTAGGAGTAGGAAAATATTTACAGTATGAAATGTCCCCCACATGATATTTATACATTACTTCTGGGGGGTAGACCTACAGCCTTAGCATGATACACTATTATTTCCAAGGAAATAAGAATGTAATGTTATCTGCCCAAGGGTTGTTCAAATTTTAAGGGTACAGCCTGGGGATGTCAATGATTGAAACAATGGAATAAATAATTAATTGTGAAAGAAACAGTTTTACATCTTGGATATAAGGATCCTTGGATATATATATTATGGTGGAGAAAGAGGAAAGAGAGACTTCTCATCAATTCTTAGATGATGCTAACTCATCAATATATTCATAAGACCATCCCTTCCTGCTACCATCTTTCCTGAATTTTACATTATATTCCTGAATTTGGAATTATGAGCAATATGGTATTTATTGTAGCATTCAAAACAGGGCATGTCTGAAAATGAAGTTGAAAGGGATATAGGGGTCAGATCTTGGGGGATTAATGTTATTTTAACAAGGTTAGGCTTTATTTATTTTATGACCAACTTGGAAAAAGAGAGTTTTAAATTGAATGCCTTATTCAGTTTTATGACCTTGATAACTTACTATGATTATGGGGAAATTCTGGTAAGATCAATATTAGTGAAATAAAAATAAAAAACCTAAGGGCAATAGTGAGTTCATTACAGTGGTTCAAGCATAATATAATGAAAGCTCAAATTAAGATGGAAGTCACAGTTATGAATAGGAGGAAATATATTCAAGAAATATTTAGGGGATAAAATCAGCAGAACTTGGAGACTCTGAATAATCAGGTGAAGGAGAGAAAGATCAAAAATCAAAGATCACCCTCAGTTTTCTAATGAGATAAAGGGTAGATTATGATTTCACCAATAATAATGAAAACCAAGTTGGGAAGGGGGAGTGAGGTGATTAGGTTAAGATAAGTTGTATTTGAAGATGGGATTGGACATTTGAGCATACAAGCTTGAAATTTTCAGGGAAATGCCTTTTCACAGAGAAGTCCTGAAGTGGTAACATACAATGGGGAATCTTCAGGATATAGGTCAGAGTTTCAACCTTGAAAGTTGATAAATCTCACAAAGAGACAGTATAAAATGAAAAGTTCAGAGTATTAATAATGGAATCTGGGAACACCAATAATTTAAGAGTCAGCAAAGAAAAAAAAAACACAAGTTAGAAATAAAAGGTCAGACAAATTATGGAGACCCAGGAGACTATGTTGTCATGATAGGCCAGTAAAAGAGAAGCTTAGGGAAGAGACAAAGTAGTAAATACATTTGAGAAACCTAGTAATGTGAGTACTGGAATGGCTCCTTTGGTTTAGCACTGATAACATCATCAGCATTATCCAGAGCATCAGTGGCTCAGCAGAGACAGAAGCCTTATCCTTGGGGGGAGATGAGAAGCAATACTAGCATTCCAGTATCCAGAAAACTGGATAAAATGTGGAGGAAAGAAAATGGTAGAGAGAGAAATAGTAATCAAGAAAAAAGGAGTTTTGGGGTGCCTGGGTGGCTCAGTCTGTTAAGCGTCTGCCTTAGACTCAGGTCATAATCCCAGGGTCCTGGGATCGAGGCCTGCGTCGGGCTCCCTGCTCAGCGGAGAGCCTGCTGCTCCCTCTCCCTCTGCCTGCTGCTCTGCCTACTTGTGCTCTCTATCTCTCTGTCAAATAAATAAATAAAACCTTAAAAAAAAAAGAAGGAGTTTTGAAGTTGAGAATAATCTCTCCAAAATGAGGAACGAAATCAATAACAAGAAAGAAGATGATGTGACAAAAAAGCATGGATGCCAGATTAAAGAGGACACTACTAGAAACGCTGGTCTTGAAGGATAAACATTTTACCTCTTAGGTCAAAAGGGAGATGGCTCTAGATTAAACAAGAACACCAAGCTGCTAACCTGTGTCTCCTTTTATTCCAAGCCATTTTCTGCAGCATAATTGCCTGTGTTTTTCACCTCCCCTTCCCTCAATCCATTTGTCATCCTTTAGCTTTCAAGTGTGCCTTCCCCTGAAAATTTTCTTTTTAAAAAAATTAATAATTATCCACTTGACAATGACTTGGCGACCTCCACCTTGTCACTGAAATGGTTTTTTTTCCTGTGGTTACTATGACATTATAAATAATTACATTTATTTTTCTTTTAAACTCATCTTTCTATGACTTTTTTCTGTTTTTTTTTTCTTTGAATTTCCTTGCCCTCTTTCCTCCAAATGCCCATGTTTCCTAGCATTCCACCCCAGCTCTGTTCTCTCTCTCGGCTATCTCTTCATGACAAACTCATGGACTTTTACTGTTTCTACCGTTAACCCCAGGTAGAGGGCACCCACCTATATATTTCAGTCTTGCCATTATCTGGAGTTCTAGTTTCACATTTAGAGCCACCTATGTGATGTCATTTGCATGTGCTACTGGCACTTTAACTTGAATATGTCTAAAATCTTGTCTTCCCACCTCAAACTACTTCTCATCTTCCTTCTTAATTTTTATAAGACTATCAACCATATTCTTCTAGCACCCAGTCTGAAAACTTATTATTGTCATTAAATTATTTCTTTTTTTTTTCATTCCCAAGATGGTAAGTTGTCAAATTCTATTAATATCCCTCTTTTGTAATCTCATAATTAATACCAGGTCCTAATACATGTCACCTACATTATTACATCCTAACTACCCTGCCTCTTCCTAAAGCAAATGTCTGAATATTTTTCCTATACTTAAAATTTTTATTAACTCTCTATTGTCCATGGAATAGAGTCCAATTTTAAAATCAGGCCCTTTTACAGTATTATTAGCCTAGGCTGCATTAATTCATACCATGTTCCCAAGATTCTTGTTCTCCTCATATATATCCTGCAATTTCCCACCACTTTGCCTGGTTCCCTCTCAACAAATGATTATATAACATTATTTAAGACTTAGCTCTAAAGTCACCTTATATAGTCAATCTTTGCTTTTCTCCAGGTAAGAATTTTTAAATTCCTATGGAAACTTATCTGTATTTATCTCTTTACCTTGTTGGCTTTCAACTGTGAACTATAATTACCTAGAAAACTCTTAGGTGATAGAAAAAATTGAGGTCTAAACAACTTACCTTCCTATTTTTCAGTATTTTAAAATGCTCAATAAAAATAGTAACATCTGCATTTGCTCTTAATTCTGTACATAGTAAGTGAACCATAAATACATGTTAAATGAAAGTAAAGTGATTTAAACACTGACAAATTTAAGTTAAAAAGATGATATATTGATGATTAAATACTATATATCCTCAAAGAAAATATAACTTAAAAGTAGACTTAAAATCAAACACAATTTATACTGGATATATAAATTAGCACATTGTAATTAATTTAAAATATTAAACTTTTTTTAACTGAGAATTTTAAAACAAGCACAAAATCAGTAATTTCCACTTAATATTGCACACATAGTTCTTAGTTCAAACCTCAATGTAGAAGAACAATTAACTATGTTTTGAAAACAAAAATAACCCTTAAATAATTTTCTTACTGTACTTATTTTTGAAAAACTAGAAGTTGAACATCTTGTAAAGTATGCTAAGTATTATGGAGATTAGGGCTGGCTACTAAATCCATGATGAAGCAATATGTATTTTCATGTGTGATCAATTGTCAGTGAGGGGGTAGGGGACCTAAAAACTACCTGACAAATGAGAGAAGTCTCTTTTGGCTTTTACTTGTAACTTGTTAAATTGGTGAAATGCTACCTGAATTTCAATCTATTTATGACAGCTTTGGAAGGAACGCTTGTTTCTCTTCATGCTGTAGTTGTAGGCAAACCCAATATGCAGGTTCATATTTAAGAATTGAGGTATAACATCTAAGACTAACTAGGAGCAAAGCAGTTGGTGCCAGTAGTTTATTTTCATAAAAAGATTTGTTCTCTTCTTTCATTCCACTCTAACAGTCAGCTCTACCTAACCCCAACCAATATGTCTGGCCTTACTCTAAACTCAGGGACCATTCTTGGCTGAAGATCCCCATGAGTTCACTAAGTGATGGTTCAATCTCAAGTCAGTATGTTTGCTCACTCCAATTTGATCTGATTGCACTCCAAACTATGTGTGCTTGTATTTCTACCTTAAATATCCAAGCTCCAAGTGATTCAAAGTCTGTGCAAGGCTCAGTTCTAGTAGTTGAATTTTTCCTTCTTAACTCTGTCTCCAGACTGTCTTTCATAATCAGGAATTCCCTAAGGCTCAGTATCTGAAATCTAATTCCATATGAGACTCAAACAACTGCTATTTGGAAACCCTACTGGCCTCACCATTGGCTACCAATTTTGACACATAACTTTCCCTCACTTTTGTTCTTGCTTTTAATACATACCAATATCCTGGCTTCAGATTCACTTACTGGACCATGTATACTTTATCCTTCCCTAGACTAATGACTTTCTCTGAATCTATATTTAGACCGTTAGCCTTTTCATGATACCATGGCATTAGCCTTTCTGAAACAACCAAGTTTTACCCACATTCCACTTAATGCCAACAAATAAAATTGATTTGAAAATAAGACATCATGAAAGAATGAGATACATTAATGTGGACTTTGATGAATTTATGACTCTACCACTCAGGGTACATTGATATTTAACAAAAGATATCAATGCAACATGTACTATAATCACTTATAAAAAATGGCATCACAAATATTAGGTTATTAGAAAAAGATATGGTTAGGAATTAAGAGAGGGCACCCATTAATTTCAGTAACTCCAGCTTCTAATTATTATCTTACAAAAAAGTTTATGTTTTTTCTTTAAATATTCTTTATACAATTTTTGTCTTACCTTAGACATATATATACTAATTTATACATTAATTTATATATTAATGAAATGTATTAATTTATATTATAATTTATATATAATTTATATTGATATTTATAACACATAAATTTATATTGTGTTAATTTATATCCATATATTCATTTATATTCATATATGTACATATATAAATTGCTTGGTTTTGAGAACGTGGATGTGTGTTACGTACATTTTATATCTCCCTAGAGTCCTGATACGTATTCTCTTTATAAAGCGTATGCAGTAAGAGAGTTTTTTAAGAGAAAAACATTACGGTGTTTTAGTGAGTTATGTGTGAAAGGTTTGTGTGTAGGTTTGTGTGTGTGTATGTGAGAGTATGTTAAGTATAAAGTTGTTAAATTGTCCTTTGAGATATTTCTGGCAACACTGGATATATTACTGATCTCATTTCTATCAGTAAACAGAATCACAAATTTTAGAATTGTTCCAGTTTATTTTGAATTGAGAATATGTAAAACTTTTCTTTTTTTTATAATGTTAAGTTAACCACCAAACTATACATCATTAGTTTTTGATGTAGTGTTCAATGATTCATTAGTTGTGTACAACACCCAGTGCTCATTACAACATGTGCCCTCCTTAATAGCCATCACCTGGCTACCCCAACCCCACACCCCTCTCCCTTCTGAAACCCTCAGTTTGTTTCCCAGAGTCCATTGTCTCCTCACGATGATTACTTTTAATGTATATTAATGTCCTTAAAAATATTATTTAAAATGTCTCCTAAAGGGAGTCAATATTTATATAAGTAGTTGCCTCTGATTAGACATGATAAAAGAAATAACTTTGAAAACTTAAATTCCAAGCTTCCCAATATTTCTTAAAGCAAAATGTTCCCATGTGAGCATTTCAAGGAGCACATTTCCTAATTTAGTATTATGCAAGCATAAAGTGAACATTGTTCATGTAAGCTTTCCTAGTCCAAGTTTCATTTGTTCAAGCCTGCCTTCCTAAGGCAGTATATTGAATTTAAATGCTCTCCAGATGATTGAGGTCTTGTTGAGTTTAAATAGCAGCATTTCTTCAATCTTTCAAACACTAACTTGCAATTGGACTATAATTACTAGTTTTAGTTTATCACCCTAAAGGAATGAAACCATTGGCACTAGAACACTGAAGACAAAGCCTTGTAAACATGGATGCCATAAATCTTCCAGCAAAGTGGGTTTCCTTCTGTATCAATGAAATAGTAAAATCAATAAATAGAACTCTTCTATAAGCACTGAACAATACATTAACTTAGAAACCTTAGCAGAAATAAGCTATAGCCATGACATCTTTTTCTTTAAGTTACATTTACCTTTTTTAGTTGAGGCAGCACTAGTCTCTTCTTTGGCTCGTTCAGTTTCTGTAAATTCAGATATTAAAGACTGAGACATGGATATCAGAAATGCCAGGTCGTTATCTTATGGTATTGTATGTCAGACAAGACTAAAAGTGGCCCAAAGATAAAATGTGGCACCTGAGAGCAAAGCAAGCAGCAGAGAAAACCACTCTATAAAGTGCTTATATGTATTTTTAAGTAATGAACTCTCTTATCTCTCCAAGATACAACTCCATGGCTTTAAATTCTAATGCCTATGTAAGTGGTGACCATAAAACAAGGTGGCTTATTTCACAAAATACACTGGAATACCAATTAGTTTATATTCAAATCTAAAATGATGTATGAGTTCTGGGGAAGAGGACTTCAAAAGACTTCTTCATTTAGCCTTTAATTATGGGGATGGTAAGCAGTGTTTGACCTCGATCAATTAGCTTTATATTATAAAAGATTTACCATAATATTACAGAAAATTCCATTTGAATATTTTTTGGAGACACAGAGAGAGAGAGAGAGAGAGAGAGAGAGAAAAGGCCAAAGTGTGTTCTTGGAGTTTCTCTGAATATCTAGTGTGGAATATAAGAGAGCTGCCTTGAAGACATAATCTGAAATGCTGGTCCTAATACAAGATTTTGGACCTCAAATCAAAGCTAATTTAAGTTTTCTCTAGTTCATAAGAAAATAAGAAAAATAACAATGAACTGGTGAATATTTACAAATCTTTACTTATTTTATTAACTTTTTACTTTTTGATGTAGTTCTCCTTGGTTGCCTGAATTTTTATGTTTATTTTTATTCTTATTAGTATCTGTACGTGTCCCCCTCACTCATATGCATTCAGTAACTGAGGCTCTGGGGACAACCAAACAACAGGACTCCTCATGTCTCTTTGCCCTCCCTATGCCATAGACCTTGGGCTGTGAGAAAGATCACATGTCAGAGGAGGCCTTCACATCATATTTAGGCTTTAATTCCATAATATTAGATACGAAAAACTTTACGAGTTGGGCCTAGACAAGAAGTAAATATTCCCTTCTCCAGACTGGACTAACCAGGATTGGGAGTCACTAATACACACAGTTCATATGCCCGCTTCATCTCTGATTTCTTTAGCCTCCTCACTTCTAAAACTGGACTCCAGTTCTCTACTCACTACCACCTGTCATCATATTTTTGGACTTTTCCTCTGTTGCCAAAACTCTGATCCCCAAAATCCTATTCTCTGGCACCACAGAATCATTTTCCCCTTTACATCTCACTTACTCAAGAACCTTTTCCAAATAGTATCTGACTTGGTCAATACTTTCATTCTTCTGATCTTACCCCTTTCTCACTGCTCCAGATCTTCCTCATGTCCTCACTTTTACTCTTACCAAGCTAATATATAAATGAGTCATGGTGTAATCGCTCACTTCATGTCACTTTTATAGTCATCAGCTGTAGTAGTCCCCCAGGCTGCTTTTAAACTGTTGGGTGGTTAAGACATCAGAAATTTATTCTTTCACAGTTCTAGAGGCAAGAAATCCAAAACGAAGGTGTCTCCAGCCCATCCTCTGAAGCTATCTCTGAACTCTCCTGGAAAGAATCCTTCCTTGCCTCTTAGCTTCTGGTGGTTGCTGGCGACACTTGGTATTTACTGATTTATAGCTGCATCACTCCAATCCTTTTGTGTTCACATGGTTCTCTTCCATTTGTGTGTATCTGCATGTCTCCAGATCTCCCTCTTCTTATAAAGGCACCAGTCACTGGATTCAGGGCCCACTCTAATCCGGTATGACCTCATCTTAACTTGATTACTTCTGTAAAGACCCTGTTTTGAAATAAGGTCACATTCATGGACACTAACTTAGGACTTTAACATATTCTTTTGGCGGGGTACATAATTCAACCCATTACACCCCCAAAACACCAAAACTACTTTATCCCTGCCACCTGAGCAGTCATCCAAACTGGAGGAAGGCCCTCACCCTGCTGCAGATCTCACTTGAATTGTCTCAGTTCAGTATTTAAGGGATAGATAGCACTGACCGGCAATACTAGCGCAGACCTTGGGAAGTTGTTTTCCCATGCGAGACAACTGGCTCACGCATTCTCTCCCCTCCTCAAGCTTCCAGCATCCTACAGTATAGAGGCAAGTTGCTTTTGAGAGATTCATAGAGAAAACAAAAGCAGACTACACTACCTCATATTTCCCCCACCTCACCAGCACATAACTGCACCATTTATTTTCCTTGCCAGCCCAAAGCATGACCAATCCCTGCCCCATATTTAATACCAGTCCAGCCTGCATCCCATCTCCTTTTGTCAAGTCAAGGCCTTTTTTTCTTGCAAATATTACTTCTGTCTGCTACCTCATCAGTTTTCCACTTCAGCGATTCTTTCAGAAACATAATATATCACTCTTGATAACTGCAGACAAGCACATCCTTCACTTATATCTGCCCCCAACCCCAGCTGCTCATCTCTTGGTGGTCCACCAAAGCTGCCAGGGAGCTGCGACACGATGTCGCCACTTTTATCTTCTCATGCTCTGGGCTTTTAAAGCCTGATTAATTATGAAAAATATAGAAATGAGAGGCATAGAGGCATATATCATATGTGCCCATTTTAAGGAGTGGTAATAAAAAATATGCACACCTTTATAACACCCTGTGAGCTTAAGAAATAAAATATGGCAAAGCCTTTGAAACCTTCCACTACTTCATGCCTTTCCTTTCATCTCAGAATTATCATTGTCCTAAATTTTGTATTAATCATTTCCCTATTTTTCGGTACAGTTTTTTATTACATGTACTTATCTCTAAACAGACCAATTTACATAGATCAAATTATATTGTCTAGTGAGATAACTATAAAAATTGATTTCTATTGTTTAATTCTTGTGATTTGATTCTTTCAAAACACCATGTTGAGATGCAGTGTTAAAATAGTTAAAGTGCCTATTAGACTGGGGTAGCTCTAGTGACTTCAGTAGCTTATACAAACAAACCAAAGCCAGAGCCATCTAGATTTTTCTGTAATCTCAAAAACTAAAACTTAAGAACAGCTATCATTACAGCCAAATAACTAAATTTTCCCAAATAAGAAAAACATTTAAGTTCTAGCCAATTAAATTATTTTTTTGCTTTGCTTCTGTGTTTTCTTAAACCTCTGTCTTACCCCCTGCCTATCGAGCACCCTAACTACTTTTTCATTCTTGGCACTGTTTGATTCAAATCGTTGTTTGCTTAAATAAATTCAGTTTAACCTTTTACAGAAGCCATGTTGACATGAGTAGCTGTAGTTGATTATCAATTTTAACTGTTGTATACTATTCCACTATATATCTCTATCTATCTATCTATCTATCTATACATTCTAATAATTATACATTCATTCTCCTGCCAATGGACATTAGGCCATGTCTGATTTTGTGCTGTTATAAGTAATCCTGTTATGAATATTCGCACACATGTTTCCTGGTACACATGTGCAAGAATTTTCTTAGAAGTGAAATTACTGGGTCAGCGCATTTGCTCATGTTTAATTTTTCCAGAAATATGCCACAATGTTCCCCCAAATTTTACATTCATACCAACAGTACATGTGAGAGTTTCTAGCTTCATATCATTACCATTACCAGAATCATCATTTTTCTCTTTTGTGGTCAATCTGGCATGTGTACAATAGTATCTTATTGTGCTTTTAATTAAAATTCCATTATACCGGGAGACTGAACATCTTTTGATATGTTTACAAGCCATTTATAGAGTTTTCTTTTTTTTGATGCTTAATTATATATTTTTGTCCACTTTTTTCTGCTCACTGTCCATCAAGTTCTTTGTCTTGTTTTTCGTTTTTGGAGATATTTATTTTTTTGCTACTTAACTCTTGTTACTTATATATGCTACAAATACCTTTTCCAAGTGTGTAGCTTGTCTTTTCTTAGAATTTTATCAGTACTATTTTGAATTCACTCAGGCAGCATTGTCTGTGATTTGGGTTGTGGTCTTATAATTTATTATCCAAACTGAGCAAGTGAAAGGAGGTGCTAGTAATAATTATTCTGAAATGATACAAATATGAAGAGTGTCTTAACCAACTGAGATTCATGGTCATACATATCATGCAATCTGTGTTCTAGACACACCTCATTAATATCAGATCTATTGTTCAGGCCCATAGATATTCCCCCAGTAACTTCCATGACAGAGTATATAATTGAATCCCAGAGGCCATGCCACTTTTTGACTAATATAAATTGTTCCCAAGTACTCTTCTAATATTACATAACTAATGAAATTCAAAAGGACTTTATTTTTTTCCCTTTTTAAAAAGTAATCTCTACACCCAATATGGGGCTCAAACTCACAACCCCAAGATCAACAGTCACATGCTCCACTGACTAAGGCAGCCAGGTGCCCCAAAGGGACTTTATTTTAAAATTCTGTATACTACCTTCTCCTGAAGAATCCTGACATGCTTTAGTAGATCAAGTGATTGATATCTGACCCACACATTTAGGTACTGAAATGTAGTTAAGGTGATAAACATAGGCTTGGTTGGATGAGCATACCACAAATCTAATGAATGCATTATGCTAGTATCAAGGGAAGAAAAATGCCTGACTATTGCCATTTCATATAAATTTGAACCTACAATTAAAAATGACTAGCCTTTGGTCCTGATCTGGTCTTTGGAGCCTTTTTTGCTCAAAATTCAAACTGACCAGAGGCTAGAAGAACATGCTCTTGGAATACATGATCAGAACCCTGTGGTCCTTGATATGAAGAAGGAAGTAATATATAGCAGTGTTTCCCAAGATCTTGAGGCACCCTGGTCACTGAAGTGTCTTTGGGGGAAAAAAAGGGTACCATGTGGTCAAATATATTTGCTAATCGTCTACTACATGCCCTCTAGAAGATTCATCAAGGAGAATGTTAAGTATCTGAAATGACCTAAGGCTTAAAAATCTGCTTGTTTTGTCCTGTTCCTAAGTCATAATATCAACTCTTATGTTGCTATCCATCAGGTGGGAAAGCAGGTACAGTGGACTGCAGAGAAGGGAATTGGGTGTGTTGAGGCATTTTTGTACATCCTATGATAAAGGAATTTGTGTTGACTTGCAGAAATTGAAATCTAGGTTTGGCATACCTGCTTGGTCCAAGGCAGTCTTCCTCCATCCACATAATCTCTGACACATAACTTTGTATATAGGGGTATTAAGTGCCCCTCCATAGTACTACATCATTGAACCTGAAAGATTTCCTTTTTCTTCCGGTTCATGGTACCACGATAACTACCACCCTGAACTGGTACAGTTCCTGAGTATGTCTGTGTCCTCCAGTATTTTTCCTACAGTAATTTTGGTTTCCTCAGAATCTAGAAGAAACGGTTCCACACCACCAACTTAATTGACATTCTAGTTATTTCCTTGAATGAGTGCTAATGCCAAATTACCTTTTATTTTTTTCCACAGACTGTCAATCTTACCTCTCCTCTTTAATTCAATACCGTGAAATTGTATCACCCAAGTATTTATCTTAATTAAGCTATACATCTCACTCTCATTTGCTCTCATAATTTAAGATAATGTAAAAGAATATCCTAAACGTTTCGGTTATATAAACAAAAGTATGTGCACCATACCATATGGGTGATTTTAAGAATTTTCAAGAGTATTTTTAATGATATGCAATCTTCACATTAGGCAATAACTTTATAAGTGACCACTATATATAGAAGATGTGTAAAAATTCTCTGATTTATGGTTTCAAGATTGAAAAGTAATTCTTAGTTGAAGAAATGGACGGTCATGTTGTTAATAGAGAATTTAAACAATTTATGAATTATCTCTAATTTTTTTATTGAGAGATAATGCCCACGTTAAGTCTAAATCTCTCAACCAGATGGAGAGTTGAGTATTAATTCTTTTGAAACTTTTATAATGGGTCTAAGATGCTTAACAACTTAATTTGCTAATTTCCTGAAAAAGATACTGATCTCTTCAAAACTTGATTGGATAGTGTGCTTCATAGATAGCAGATCTTACAGAGTTGTTTTACTGCAAATCAACATTTTATCTATATGTCACATTTTTCTAGGAAGAAAATGTTCATTTTTAGCATAATCTTCAATCTAAAGTTCTCTACCAGTGCTGCAAAATTATGTTTTGTTTTATATATTTTCTTGATTATGCACTTCTACAGACTAAGTATTAGCATACTGAAGATTCCATAATAAAGAGTCCCAATCAGCTTTACATTCAACTAAAAATTTTCATGAAAATATAAATGGAATTTTAGATTCATGTTACATCTCTCAATCAAAGTCTATAATGTCTATGTAAACACTTCCAACTGGTAATTTTTTAAAAGACATTCCCACCAAGTTACTCAAAGTTATATTTTCTAATTTTTCTCTGATATATCCACCAATGATATACTCTTATCTCAAAATCCTGGCACTAAGTAAAATATGCAATTCTTTTATATATTAGTACCATCATTAATAACCTATGCAGCTCCAAACCAGATGAAAAAATATAATCATATTTACATCATGCATAAGACAGATTTGACCATAAACCTCAGAGAAGCTAAAAGTATATTTCTTTCTAAAATCAAAAACATGCCATTATGCCTAAAATAATTTTCATTAGTGACCATCTGCTAGGTATTTCATCTAATTGAGAAAAACCATCAAAGAAACCAGCATTTGTCCCGAAGCATACTGTCAAAGCTAATATTGATGCAAATGCCATGGTATGAGTTATCAGTCAATATTCATAATCTGAAGATATAAACCTTGAAAGGAAATTATAACATTACACAAGCAGTAGTTAAAATTGTTGGGGGCTTCATTTCATTAAAGACACCATGGCTTTCACTGGTAGACAAACTATCTTGCCTACTGGTTTGGTCAAGTGATTAATTATTAGGAAAATGAAGTCTGATGTGTTTAAGAAACTGAAGAGATCATTTATTCTGCAAGTTAAGAAACAAAAATACAAACTACTCAAAAAGGAGTTATGATGTGGACAAATTAACATTTGCAAATGAAAATAAATTTTAAGAAGAATAAATCCACAGAAAAGGTTGAATAATTACGTATATTATTTTAACACAACAAATATTAATAGCAAGAAACATTTGGTAAGCCAGCCTCAAAAATTAGCATTAGCCTTGTCTATAACAAAAATTAGTAAGCTGCTGAAATACATTCTTTTCGTTTTTTTAAGTTTTATTCAACATACTTGCTTTTACTTGTTTTTCACTTGGAGCTGTTAAAGACAAGAAACAATAAAGTCTAAATTAATTACAAGTCCACTGTCTTTCTCTAAAATAGTATAAGGTTATTTAATATTTTTTAAAGACTGTATTATAACCTTGATCTAAGAAGGAAAACCAAAGATCTGAGAAGAAAATACAACACTGTGCCATTTTCTTTTGTATACTATAAATATGCACCATGAACCATAGATTATTTTTACATTTATATATCTTCTCTCAACACAGAATGCTCATTCACAACTTACTCCTTTTGTTTGCCTTTTAAATTAGCTAAGAATATGATTTTTTTTATATACAAGCCAAGGCATTTTCCTTAAAGTGGTATGAAAAGAAAGAAGTGGATTGATAAATTATCCAATGGTTTCGATTGTTAAAACACAACTAATTACTGCCAAGCGCTACACTGCAATCATACCCTGAAATGAACAGATAACAATTTCAAGCAATTTAAGTTTTGTATTTTGTCAGGTTTAATATTAGACAATAATGATTAGCTATTAATATTCTTGAAACTGATTATATCCATAGTCATTCTGCATGTTTCTCCATGTTTATATGTTTCTATGCTATATATTTTATTTTAGTTTTCTGCACATGTGCATAAATGAGAATATGTGTTTGGCCCACTCCCGAATGTTACTCACAAATGAACAAATACTCTGTTCTCTGTAAGGTGGACAAAAGCATTCCTTCCCAAAGGATAAATAATATCAATGTTAATGTGAAATGGTGAAATGTGAGCATTTCATCTTGGAAATTATTTAAAAGTCATTCCCATTTAAATATTTTTAAATGTGGTTATTCTATTTGGTGTTTCTGCTTTCATTTAAGAAACCATTATCAAGGGGCGCCTGGGTGGCTCAGTTGTTAAGCGTCTGCCTTTGGCTCAGGTCATTATCCTAGGGTCCTGGGATCGAGCCCCACATCGAGCCCCACATCGAGCCCTGCATCGGGCTCCCTGCTCAGCGGGGAGCCTGCTTCTCCCTCTCTTGCTTCCCCTGCTTGTGTTCCCTTTCTCGCTGTGTCTCTCACTGTTAAATAAAAAAAAAAAAAAGAAACCATTATCAAGTGCCTACCGTGTGCCTGCCTTTATAATAGGCACTCTAATTTCTGACTATTTAAAATGGAAAAAGGTAAGGTAATGTGATTAAAACAGTATAATAAGTGCTATTATAAAGGAAAGAGGATGATGCTATGGGAACTAGTTGGAGGAATAACTAAATGGATTGAGTTGTCTGAGGAAGTTTTATAAACTTAGAAGAAGAATAAGAAATGTAGCTTTGAACCTGTGGTTTGCTCTCGTCTGTGGTGGTGGGGGTGGGAAATAGTAGAGCTATATTTGTATGGTTGGTTATTTACATAGAGTATATGTAATTTCCATTTAAATACAATAAAATGGGAAGGGCAACTAGTGGACATTATATGAATCTATGACTGCCTATACACATACACACAACCCTACACACACGAAAACGCAGTGAAGTTCTTCGAGGAGAAATTTGAAGGCAAAATCAACACGTAATATTTTAAAATGAAGTCAGTAAAATAAGTTTTAGAAACGTGCATTTATTTTCATTTGAAACAACTAATAGGACAGACTAAATGCTAGAAACCTGTAAGAAAACCATTTGGTATTCGTACCAACTGCATTTTTAGATGTGTTTGTTTGTATGTGTGTTTTACCGATTGTCTGATTCTCAATTCAATTTTCCCCCATTAGAATGTAAATATATTGAGGGCAAAATCTACCTCTACTTCCATTGCAGCTCCCCTGAGTACTCAAGAAATGTCATTAAGCAACATTTTGAATAGGGAGAGAATATTTGCTGAATTAAATATTCCATATTTTAGAAGTAAAGCAATATTGGATGCTTTTACAGAAAGTGTTTTTTATTCTTATTTTGTTTGTTTTTGTTATTTTACACTCAACAGTACTTCTCAAACACTGCTTTGACAGAGTCACTGGGGATCTTAGGAAGTTATGGATTCTGATTCGGTGGGTCCAGGCTGGAGTAGAGACACAGCATTTCTTACAACCTAATGCTGCTGGTTTACAGAACACTCATTGGGTAGCAAGAGTGTAACATATTCTGGCTTCTGTTTTCTAAAACTGCACTGATGTTAACTCTATGTCAAGAACTTGAAATAAAGACCGTGATATGAGATTTCCTGCTCTCTCCTGGCATGGCCCTTACCACCTGTCTCCGAGGCTGCAGCATTAATAAACATTGGACATCAGGTAGAAAGAACCCAGAAACATCAGTCTAACTCACCTGAATGTTCCTTCTTTGATGACTTTGCTGTATCAAACAAGAAAAGAAAAAAGTCAACATTCTAAGCCATTCTATTGGGATTCAGTATTCAACTGCAAATTAAATAATAAAATGAAAGGAAGATAGAGGAATTTAAAAACAGTCACCTGGTTCCACATGTTTTCCTTTCTTTTCCTGTTCTGAAACATATTATTATTGTTGTTATTATTATTATTCCAATTTTATATGTCACAATTTAATTGTTTTAACACAAATATATATGTGCTAAAGTTGGACTGCAGCAACTAATAAATAAACTAATAAAACTAATAAATCTTTCCTTCTCTTTCCCTGACTGAGTTCCCTCACAGAATAGCATACAAATATTCTATGTAAGAGGAACTAAAATTTTTCATGGATAATAAACCAAAAAATAAATAGAGTAAAGAATGGAAAATAATTAATTTGCTATTGTATTAGACCAACATGAAAGAAATTTGGGATAAAAAATGAACCAAAGGATAATTATTACAGCTGTTTTAAAATAATTTTCAGATAAGGATGGACAGATTTCATAGGGACTTCCTCTTTGAAGGTGAAATCTGCTTATATTGAAAAGTTATTTGTTTAGCTAAGACAAAGGCTTTGCTGAGGCAAACTGAAAACATTAAAATAGATTGAATTTTCAGTGGAAAGCAAAACACACTTCCCTTGTTTTTAGGGCAAATGCTCCTTATAGAGTCCTTATTAGATAGTATTTCTTTTTAAGAACCCATTTTTGTCAATATTGTATGAGACAAAGCATTATTCTGGCCCCAAGAGTAAGATGACACTTGCGTTATAATAAGAATTAATTTTATACAAAGTGCAAGTACTAATTTTATACTAAGTGCTATTGTCTGCAATTCCTATTTTTTATTTGGCCTTGACAAGCTTGTCAAATTAATTTAAAAGAAGATTTTCAAGAAATGTTTTAACATAGGTACATTATTATTGGATTTTTTTAAAGAAAAGGTATGGGGAGATTATTTTAAAGTTTCATTCAACGAATATATTTTGGAGACTAGAAGATGTTTATGCTGAAAGACTTCTAAGAACTGTATTTTAGAAACATAGAGGGCCATCAAATCTTCTACAGTCACGAGTCTCACACGTCTTCAATTTTGTTTATCAAGAGCGTCGTCATGTAAGAATATCAAGCAGTTTATCCAATCACAAGAAGCATTCAGGCAGTAAAACAAATTAAAACAATGACTTGACCAAGTGTCACAAGTCAAAAAGAAGACACTTAGGTGACTTAGCTAAAATTAAACACAGTGAGAACATTACCGAAAGTTGCTTGAAAAACATGGAATAATTAAACGTGTTGTTTAATTTATTGCTGAGCTGAAGCACCGTTCATGTAACATTTCTAAGAAATTGCAAAGTGATGACAGTTGAAAAAATACTAGAAGTCGATCTGGGTATGAATCAAAACTGAATTCCAGCTATACATGATATTACAAAGCTAAAATAAGGACCTTCCAATCACATCAGAAAGCCATCATATAAACAAGAAAATACCTGTGCTAATTTGGAACGATGTGAAGAAAAAGGCTGTTGAGAGCACTTATTACATAGGATAATTCGGGATGTAATTATTGAATTATCTTTAATAAATATAAATTAAGGTACCCTTTAATTCAACAGGGACTGCCAAATCACATCTATGATTGATTTTCTTTACTTTTTATTTTGAAAAAATTATAGTTCACAAAAATTTTCAAAAATATTTATATGAAGGTTTCATGTACTCTTTACCCTGTTTCTCCACCATGATTTATTTTAAACTTAAAAAAGAACAACTTCTTAATTGTGATAATTAGAAAAATGAAGCAAAATAAGAATATAGGGATGGAGATGTATAATTGAATGAAGCAATCCTAAAAACAAAAAATACAAATCAAACAAATTCAAAGATATAACAACAACAACAATAAAAGCAAGTTTAGGGGCATCTGGGTGACTGAGTCAGTTGAGCATCCCACTCTTGATTTCAGCTCAGGTCATGATCTTGTGGGTTGTGGGATCCAGCCCCAAGTCATCCCTCAGGGGGGAATCTGTTTCCCCTCTCTCTCTCCCTCTGCCCCTGGCATGTGTGCTCTCTCTCTCTCTCTCAAATAAATAAATAAATCTTTAAAAAAAAAAGCAACTCTAGATGAAAAACCGGAAGTTAATTTAAAAAGAATTATTCATTGTTTAGAGGAAAATTATTTTTCTTTTCCCTATTACTGTCACAATCCACTGAACTTCTCAGTGAGGGAAGCAGTTAGGATGTAAATGAATGCCTGGGAAGGCATTTTTTCTTAAATGAAGTATACCAGTGCTCCGAAGATTGCCAAGGAGATGCAGTGTGTCTGTGAGATCTTTTAAATTATATAGCCTGCAATAAAGTGAGGGCCTTAAGATTATACATATATATATATATATAATTTAACAACATTTTTCGCATCTCTGGTTGTCCTCCATTTTCCTGCTGGTGCAATGGTTTATAAAGTGTTTCTGTATCCATGAGCCAGGGCTCATCAACAGCTGTGCACACACATAAATCTGAAACTGAAGGAACACATACTTCTGTATAGATAGATTGCTCCCCCTGGCTGAGTTTTACTATAATTTCATGATTCATCCTACAGAATATTTTAGAGCATTTTTATGACATAGAATGCCTCAGGGTCTTAACCTTTTGCAGGACCAAAGCATACATAAAATTTTCAAAAAGTGGTATATATTTTAAAACAGATGTTTTGTTTTTGTTTTTGTTTTTGTTTTTTTAATATCACTGGGATCCTTAAAAGCTCTGCATTTCTGGGAATGTGATGATTTTTAATGGCTGATTGAGTAGGGTTAAGTTAGGGGTTTTTGTTCCCATTTGTTCAACATATCCTAATTTCTTCAGAGGAGAGCATGTTTTTGCAAAAGATACAACCTCAAGGCATCTAGCTTTACTGTTAGCAAACAGCTTTAACACAATGTTAAAACAACAGTGGATGCTGCCTAAGGTATGGATTCCAAGCAATGCTATTACACAGAACTCATAGTACTTATAGGGGGGAAATCACATTAAGAATGAAATGTCACATATCATATGAACATGCCAAAATATTTATGGATTACAAGAAGAAAGGTAATGGGAATGTGGTTATGAAACCAGCCTGAAAAAGAACTTTTTTTCTTCTTTAAGGACAGAGAACAAACCAGATTACAGAGACTAAATTTACATTAACAGTTTTGGTTAATGAAATGAAGTTGTATTTTTAGTTATGAGGCTGTGGGTAATATTATTAGACAATTGTATGAATTTGGAAAATGGCTTTAAGAATGACTGCCATGGTTTTCAGTCCCTCTGACCCTCAGGTTGTGTAGTTTTTCATTCTAACAAAAAACAACAAGTAGAGTTCACATGCATAAAATATAAAAAAGAGATATTCAAAACTGCAAGTCTAAGTATACTAGCAGGCCAATAGTAGTTGTAAAGAGGAAAAAACATATACACAAATATACTTTGCATGCATTTCCTTACTTTTTCCCTTGGGATGTTCTGTTGAAAAAAATGAAAAGAAACAAATAAAAAAACAATTGCTCTTATGCTCTTAAAACCTTCAAAGATAAAATTACTCCCCTAACATGTTGACTAGACTGTAATTTTTCCATCCCCTCCCCCCATTCTCTCTCCTCAAATTTCAGTGTTGCTCTGAGGTGTTGCCAATTACTACTGTAGGTGTGTCCATAATTTGAGTGCAAAACATTGACAATGAATCAACCCAGGATTACCCTGTTTAATCAATTTCAATGATTTATAGCTTGTAGTCTTCTTAAACACAGGTAAACACATAATCACATATAAGCAAATACAAAAGAAACAGGTATCCTTGCCAACCCAGGATTACACTGTTTAATCAATTTCAATGATTTATACCTTGCAGTCTTCTTAAATACAGGTGAACACATAATCACATATAAGCAAATACAAAAGAAACAAGTATCCTTGCCAGATGAGTTATGATTCTATTCAAGACTTAAGGGAATGATTCAGTTCCTAATTGATGCTGGTGTATCCAAGATTAATTGAAATCATTCTTTCTAGTAGAATAAACGCTTGGTACTGAACATTGTTCAGTTTCTTGTCAATCAAACATTTCTTTGAAAACAATTGTTGTGAAAGGTAAATATATGCAGTATTTATTTTTTGTTTTACCAGATATATCCCATAGCAATATTGTCAGTGAAGACTTGACTCTTTCCTTCATATTCTCTCTCTCTCTCTTTCTTTCTCTCCCCTATCCCTATATAGTTTTTTTCTTCTATAATAATCCTTCAAGAAGAAATGCAATTTGGGATTCATCAGATATAAGACAGAAAAGGAAAATATTTCCAATACCTTCTACAGGTGTTTTTGTTTTCTTAGAATCTGAAAACACAAAAATAAATTATTGATAAAGCAGATATCATAAATCAACAACTGATTAGTTTACAATAGAATGCCAAATACTCTGAAATAATCTTCAATAAAGTGGACTGATCACATAACGTATTTCTAGAATATGGGGCTTAAGGAGAAATTACTCTGTTTTTGAGAAGATGAGTATTAGAGTGAGGCAGTACATAAGACATTTTCTGAAATAGAAAGACTACAAAAAAGGACAGAGATGAGGGGCACCTGGGTGGCTCAGATGGTTAAGCATCTGCCTTCGGCTCAGGTCATGATCCCAGGGTCCTGGGATCGAGCCCCACATAGGGCTCCTGGCTCTGTGGGGAGTCTGCTTCTCCTTCTCCCTTTGCCTCTCTCCCTGCTCATGCTCTCTCTCTCTGTATCTCTGTGTCTTAAATGAATAAATAAAATCTTTAAAAAAAAAAAGGACAGAGATGAAAGAAAATATCCACATACAGTTTGCACTGAGATTACATTGTGCCTATCAAAGCTAATGACCTTATAATAGAAAGTCAAGCTGAGCCAGTATATGCTCTGCTTCCATAAAGATGGGCTGAAGCCTGTGAATTTAGTCTGTGGTTTCTTCATTTGTTCAATCTAAAGCCACCCAGATCACCTGCTTTGCACTCCCTGAATAATCAATATATTTACAATACAAATGCTCAATCATTTCTATTGTAATGGGAAAAAAAACAGGTTGATGTTGGCTCAAAGGTTACTGATGAATATATTATATTTAGTAGCTGCTATGGAGTAATGTGTGTTCAGTGGTCAGCAGACATCTATTTTGCTTTTAGTCTTTTGGGTATTCAGCCTAGATCTGAAAATTTTATGATTTTTTTAGTATTTGGATCATGCAACTTTCTGTTCCTATCACTTGAAAATAAAATGAGAGGTTTCTGACTTCATTTTAGAATAGAGGCATCTGAAGTTTCTACTCAGAAATATTTTATTTATCTTTTGTGGTTTTTCGTTTACGTCTTCTGTAACTTCACTTTAAAATTTTCTGGATATTACTGAAGTTATAATTGTAATAATGAACTACAAATTGATCATTGCAAAAGGCAGATAAACTGTCTTCTGGCTGATAATTATATGCTTGGCAGATTTGTCTGCCTTACAGGGAAGCGATTGATACCATAATTTTACTTTCATAGTGAAGTAAAAGAGCTAAAATGTTTGAAGATGACAATGGGAGTTTATTCACAAAAAGCAATTAGGTGGTCAACTGAGTTGTTTTATGAAAAAAGGATTACCAATGACAGTAATAGTGAGGTAGAAGTAAAAACTCACTTCCATAGAAATAGAAGCTAGAAACACATTTTAGAAAGCAACTTGAGAAAGAATCTTGAGAAAGTCATAAAAATGAGCATGCTTTTTATATAGTAAGTCCACTACTAGAAATCCAAAGAGAAAAATGCTAAATTATCATAAATATATATATAAATATAGGAAGAAGTTTTTTTATGACATTGATTTACATGTCTAAATAATGAAAATATTAAACAGTACCTTCTGAACAGGAGTGGAACTATTAAAGAATTCATAGACATCCACATAATGGAAAAATACAGTCATTCAAGTGATATTTTTGCAACATCCTCTTTGTGAATTTCTAATTTCTCTGTAATAGGGGTATGTTGCATGTGTAAGGGAAAAGCAAACCTTATTTTGAAAAATAATAAATCTTTGGAACAAAACATTTACTTATTCACTAAACATCTATTAAACATTATTATGTCCAGCACGGCACAGTAAAAAGAATATTAAACTAGATTTCTCTTAATATCCTTCTTGCCCTCTCAAAAAATATTTTTCTTGATATTTAGTTTCTCATCTGGAACTATAACTGAGTAGGCTAAATTTGCTATCTAAAATGTGCTTTGCAAGCAATTTCTCATTCCTTTCCTTCATGAGTAATTACCCTAAATAGATAAGCAAGTAATTCAAATATATAGAAAGATATTATATAAAACAATTTCAGATAAGAATATGATAAATATCCTCTTATTCATATGCCTAAAAATTAATTAACAATGCAGACATGAATTCTTATAGCACAACAGCTGCAACAATGAAGTGGAAAGCTCAATGATCTTTGTAAGTTCTCAGTTCACTTGGCTCCAGTACACTGGAGGAAGATTTCTGCCCACCCAAAAGGTCATGTGACTCTCACCGACCCTAGTGTACAGCCAATATGGAAAACACAGGAAGATTATGACGAGCACATGGTCATTCAGGAATACAACTGAAGACTGGACAGACTGGTGGGACAGACAGGATAAAATGTGGCCGGTAAGGAGAAGACTATTTCCACGCCCACACCTCTATTCTCTGACTAGATGCTGGTGTGGGGTAGATATGGAAAGCTGAATACAAAATGTGCATCTGTGAAATGTCTGTTGTTTAAATCTGCTTTCCTTCTCATTCATAATAAGAATTGTAGTATAGGAACGCCTGGGTGGCTCCGTCGGTTAAGCCCGTCTGCCTTCGGCTCAGGTCATGATCCCAGGGTCCTGGGATGGAGCCCCACATTGGGCTCCTTGCTCAGCGGGAAGCTTGCTTCTCCATCTCCCTCTGCCTGCTGCTCTGCCTACTTGTGCTCTCTCTCTGTCATTTAAATATTTAAATAAAAGATTTAAAGAAAAAAAAAGGAATTTGTAATATAATGTACCAGGTATCAATTGCATTGAAATGAAAGAATAAAAAAATGTGAAGTCCAGGATCAGGTAAAGTATAGAGCTTATTGAGATAAAGTAAAACATTTCATGAAGAAGAAATGTAAAAAAATAACAAGCCATGATCTCAACAAGTAGGTTTTAGAAATTCAATACATGTTTTCTAAAAACGGGAGCTATAGTGAAATTAACTTAAAATGTCACTATAAAATCATGTCTTTGGGTGGGAGTCAACAGAGCAGCAGACTTACACAAGTAAAATACCTGAGCAACAAAAAACATAATGCTTAGAACTGCAAGATCACATACTGACCCTGAAAAGCTATTAGTACCAGCCATTTATACTCAGGCTATTAAACTTCATTATACCCTCTCAGCACTCTGCTGAAATGGCTTAAAAATATTATAAAGGCTTACTCAGTGAATATACTTCCTTAAAGACCATATGTCCAATAATCTGAACAACAGTCCTTTATTAAGAACATCAAAGCTCACAGCAGCTGTGATTTAGAAGAAGTGATGTGTTTGCAATCTGTTCAACTCATCATTCACTCATCTTTAGCAATGCACAGTAGTTTCCCTCATCCAGGGGGATATGTTCCAAGACCCCAGTGGATGCCTGAAACCAAACCTGTATATACTATGTTTTTTCCTATACATGCATACCTAAGATAAAGTTTAATTTATAAATTAGGCACAGAAAGAGATTAGAATAATAATGAAATAGAAAAATTATAACAATATACTGTAATAAAAGTCATGTGAATAAGGTATCTCTCAAAATATCTTACTGTACTGTATCCACCCTTCTTGTGATGATGTGAAATGATAAAAAGCCCGTGTGATGAGATAAAGTGAGGTGAATGATGTAGGCATTATGACTAATGTTAGGCTACTATAGACCTTCTAACCACGTGTCAGAAGGAAGGACATTTGCTTCCAGGTGGTGGTTGACCTCGGGTCACTGAAGCTGCCAAAAATGAAACTGTGGATAAAGAGGGACTACTGTATCAGGTATTATAGTCAGAAGTGATGCCAGAGAAAAATGAAATACCAGTTGTATGGAAAGGAAAAAATAACCCTCTGGTAGTCTGATAATGCAGGTGATAAAGTACTCCATTTCCGTGTATAACTTGCCCCATTGACATCTTTATTCAGTTACAATAACAGATACTTTGCTTTGTTTTTCAGCATAATTTCTCTTCAGACCTCAATTCTGAAGCCCTAATTTACACATGCATTCAACTTACTTGATCTTGTTTTAGCTATAGTAAATGATAAATCTAATCTGGCTCATTCTCAATGGAACTATATACTTCAGAAGTTAAACTGTGTGCAACACTCAAAGGCTTTCCAGCCCCTAGGAATTTATATGTGAAGCTAAGTTTAAATGAATGGATCTACCTAATCTGCTAGTATAACTCAGGTAGCAGCTAGTGATCAAAATACACCTATGATGAAATTGTCATTATTTGGCTATGATTTCTCAGACCTAAAAAGCTCCCTGGAATATAACTTCCAATAATAATAACAATAATAATAATAATAAATTCTTCCTTGCCTGTGATGTGGAAAATTGAGTACCTACTCATATTTCTTGTGGATATTATATTGATCTTAAGAGTCCTAGATATTACTGATTCATTCAGAGAATAAATATTTGTTAAGCAATGTGCAAACTGAGGAAATGTGTTAGTCCCAATAGGGGATAAAACTGAAGTAGACATGGTCCCTTTAATCAAAAGTTTTAAAGTCAATTAAAGTAGAAGGAAAATGAATACCAGCAATATAAGTACAAGGTGGCAAGAAATAAGCAATGGTGGGGAGGTATAGATAAATTCTGATGGGAGATTATAAATGAAAAAGAAAGTATATTTAACTGAGAGGGTCAGACAGATATCTTAGAGGAAAGAGAATTTTTCCTGAGCCCTAAAAACATTGAATATCCATAGAAGGAAAAGGAAGCGATAAGCTCTATTATGATAACAGCAGGAAAAAAGGCAAGACAGCAAGTTGTATGTGTAAAATTGAGAACGGCTTGATACAGATGAAGTATGTGATATATACAGGAAGAAAGTAGGTAGAAGTATAAGGTAAAGGCTCCACCATGGTGCCATGGTGGCCGGGCACATATCCATATAGACCCTGTGAGGGCCAAGTTTTAAACCATAGCTAATGTGAGTCTCAGCAGAATGCCTTTTGATCCTTCTGGAACATAGGAGGATGGGAGGCTGTCATGAGACAGCCTCTTATCATCTCCTGAGTTCTCTTGCCTAGAACACTTTGGAATAGAGTTGCAGACCATGAAACCATTTGGCTGTAGTCTAGAATTGGCTCCTCAACACTGAAATGTCCCTAACTTGTTTTGCATTATCTGACCTCTTTTCTTTGGGTGTCATTGTTTTTTGGTGTGTAGGATAAGAACCACGAAGTGTTGGCACCTTCAGCTACTCTTGCTTTTACTGACCATGGAGGTAAGGAATTGTCTGTAGCTCAAAAGGGCTCATTGTATCTTGACTGGTGGAATTAGTCACGCCTTGGCTTTGTCTTTGCCTAGATGTGTACGTGACAGGGGGTCAGGAAACAGACTGGTGACTTGGATTATAGGTTAAGGCCTGTAGATTATATTCTGTGGTTGGTGTGGAGCCACTGAATATTTTAAATAGGTAACAACATGAAAAGTTTTATGAAGTCAGTTAGTGAAAATATTATAGGCATGATTATATATGTAGGTTAGAGATTCTCAAACTTTTTCATCTCAGGTATCCTTTCGATCCTTTACAATTTTAAAAGACCCCGAACAGCATTTATTTATGCAGTTTTTATCCAGAGGAAAATTTAAAATATAAATTTGCTTATGCATTTATTAAAAAAAGAATAAACCTGTTACATGTTAACATAAGTAATATATTTTTATGACAAATATATTTTCCAATACAGAAAAAAATGGTGAGATGAGTGACTCTGTGAATCTCATTAATGTCTAGCTTAATGAGAAGACAGTTGGATTTGCATATCTGCTTAAGTATTCAATCTGTTGCAATATTGCAAATTATGTAGCCTCTGGAAAACTCCAGTGCACGCTCATGGGAGGATGACAATGAACCAGGCAAACGATGACTTCATATTTTTATAAAAATAGTTTTGACCTTGAAGAACCACTGACAGGGTCTCAGAGACCCCCCAGGAGTCCTTGACCGCATTTTGAGAACATCTGATTTCAGAGATCGTTGCCCTAGTTAATATGAGAAGTTAGAAAGCCAGTGTGAGGACACAAACAGCAATGTGAGGTGAGAGCTAGAGGACTGGGAGCTGTGAATGAAGATTAGCCTTTCTAATTATTTTAGGAAAGATTAAACAAAAGAGAGTTCAGCCAATTAAAAATTCTAGAAGACTAAATGCCAGGGGCAAAGAGGTTGAAGCTTACACCAGAATTTGTGTCTCTGTGTCTACAAAGAGAATGGGGTAATTACATAAGAAGATACAGAGAAAAAGCACATCTTGTAGAGAAAAATACAATTTGATGGGACTTTGACTTTGAAACTAATGGAAAGTAAGAAAGAATGTGTATTAACAGATGATGAGTAAAGTGTCTATAAGGGGGAGAAAGAGTGGCATACCGGGGAAATTTCAGTGGAAAAAGGCTTATAAGAGGACCCCAGATGAACAGTCAAAAATATCCCTCCACTTAAGCTAAGATAGGATTGCTCTGATGCTAAAACTCCAAAGAACAGTAAAATTGATGGGCAAAGCTCAGTGGAGCCCAAGGTCTCTCGTTAAGGTTTCTGAGAGACTTGAGGGGACATAGAAAATAAGCTCTTAACATGAAGTGCAAATCTTCGGAGTTCACTATTCAAGAAGCCCTTTCCCCCTGGTGCACAGATCATCTTTGATAATAAGGAAACTGGTATGTACTTTTGTTTCTGCATTTTAAAATTTGCTAACAAAAGAACTTCCCAGGGCTTCTAGTTAAGCCTTAAAACCCTCCTGATTTTCTTCTTCTCCAAGAAAGTAGTTAACCATCAATACCTTTGAACTATACCCCCAAGAGGTTGAATGTGAATAGAAATAAACTTTGTATAAAAGAAAATGTTGAAAATCCAAATTGTATGCAGTAATTTGTATTAAACATGCTTCATTTGAATAGACATATTTCCAATAGAGGCAGGAAAACTCTATGGAGAAGATTTCTACAATCTTATTGAGATTATAGAAAATAAGAAACAAGAGAGAGCCAAGACCCTTATGTCCGTATACCTCTCTGCTCTGCTTAACAGGAGAAAGGGAAATAGAAACTCATGAAACAAAATCAAATGACTGCCTAGAATAGCTGGACATTGAGTGTGTTCTCCTTTATATGCTGGAAACAACGAAAATTATTCTAGATAGCTGTCTTTGTTTCTTAAACAGCATAATCTTCACAACTACAAACTTTTTCCAAATAAGAGATAAAAGGTAATCTATGAAACTCTTTTGAAATAATAATATAATAATAATAATAATAATACATAGGGGCATATGTTTTATATATTTTACAGCTGGGGGTGGACACTGGATCTCTTGACTCTCCATGGCAAAGCTCTGCCCAAGCTCTCCAAGCTCTTCCAATTATTGCATATTGGTTATAAACAATTTCTCAGAAAAGAAAAAGAAAATGAGGCATCTAATCCAGGAAAAATAGAGCAAAAAACCCTGGAAACATAGCAATGAGAAAAAAAATGATACAAAGCCTAAAGCGATGCAGTTTGTAATTTGACTATTGTTTCATATACCCCAAAGTCTTTTAATACTTTGGTTTGAATACGAATGAATGGAAGAATAACTGTTCATATTACTCATTTTCCTAAATCAAATGGTAAATTGTTCTTTATTCCTAAGAAGGAATGGTGGGAAAAGATTAACATTTTTGAGGACTGTCTATATCACAAACTGTGCTGAGGACTTACTACCTCTTTTTTCTTGTAACATCTCTGTATCCTTACCACAGTGTTGATCATGTAAATGACATAATTTCCAGAATACACCTAAAGATTTGTTATGCGTACACGGGGACATAAACGCACTAACGTGTCTTAGTTGGCCTTATTATGATACCATGGTTTTGTTCTCTCTAAACAAATAATGGCTTCCTAAAATATTTTTTTCTGTCTTCTATCTACGGATTCTCAGATTCCTGTTTAATAGAAGCAGAATGTGATTCCCAAACTGCTATGTTTATGTAAAATTCTGATGATACTAAATATAAAATATAACACTTGCTTTCTATTTTTTCAGGTTATATGAACACTAATTAGAATATTATTGTCATTTTCAAAGTTAGAAATGATTGCTTATATCTTCATACTATTTTTACTAAGAAAATAAGCCTAGAATAATAAATAGTGGTAATATCTAGACCCTGTCTAAATATTGTCAGGGTACATAAGAAACATCTCTCTAAATAGAATCACAGTGACTAAGATGGTCTTAATATTCCCCTTAGCTTGACTAAATTTTAGACAGGTGTCTTCCTGATTATAGGCCCTCAACCTCCCTTGTATTAGTACATTTACTTTAGAAAACTTGCAACTGTAAATTCTTTCTCTGTTCTTTTGAAATATAAATCTACAACCAGAAATATCTTTCTCAGGATCTAGGAGACATCCTTTTGAAATGTAATCATCAAAGGATATAGTGTTCCTATATCGCAGTCCCTATGGGAGGGTAGGAGACTAACTTCAATAAGCAGCAATTAGTAAACATAGATGGCCTAATCACAATGACCATCGCCCCACACCCCAACCGCCCAGTGTTCTCCAGTACCTTTCCACTAGCTCATCTCAGAGCTTTAAAAGTCTCAGGCTTTCTGTTTCACCAGTGTTGGATTTCAACTTCTATTGCAATGGACTTGAGCCCTACTGCAATCGTCTTCAATAAAGTCTTTCTTACCTGTTAAATCCCCTGGGTGCAAGTTTTCTCTGACAGCAAGGAATATTTTACTCTATCTCAGGACATTCTGACAAAAGGAGGTGGTGTGCAGGGGATGGACTATGGCTTATTTGCTGTTTGCAACTTAATAGAACAAAGTAGCATCAGTTGCTGGTCAATGTCAGAGATATAAGTAGTTAATAGTGTAAAATAGTCTATATTTTTCACATTTTTGAAATGTGATAAAACTTCTAATGGAATGGAACTTCTGGGATTTTGAGAGGTTATGTTCTATCCCCTATATCTTGAGAAAGACGAGATTTAAAATTGTTTTTTTTTTAAAGCAGTGCACCCTTTTATATGAAGTAAGACAGAAAAATACATTAATGAGAAATGTCTGCATAATATAGATCCAGTTATCCAAAGGAAACACAGGCGAGATGGCAAGCAAAACCCAACTCCGGATTTTGGTTAATTGTTTACACAAAAGGGATAGTGGAATTTTTGCATTAAAAATACCTTCCTTCTTTTCATCTTTTTTAGCTGCTGCTGAAATAAAATAAATAAAATAGTGTTAAAACATACTAAGTGATCATTCTTCAGAATACTCCTGGGAATATGAGACTGTATTCCATGTATTTATAAATTGAGTGGTTATCTATGCACAAATTAATCCATCCAACTTCTGCAATATGAGAACAACCTGAAAATATTATTTTATGTGAAGGTTTTTTTAAAAGCTCAGATATAAGCATAAGACCAAAAAAAAAAGAATTAAAAATATATTGTTACATAGACAAGAAGTCAAATAAATAAGTATAGTATATGTTTAGTATAAGTTCATTTTAAGTTTGAAATTGTTACATCTGAGAAAACCACAAACACTTCTAGAAGAATATGACTAGATTTATGCTAAAAATGGAGGTATTATTTCATAAATTATCTGTGCCTAGCTACTAAGAAATTATGCACCAGTTTATTATATGCATTTGTTATAGTAGTGTTTAAAATGTTTTAAAAAAAACACAAAAAACAAAAAATAAAATGTCCCATTTCAGCAAGGGGCAATGACAAGTCCACCCTCCTTTTAGCAAATGTATACCATCTTTACACAGAGAAAAGGCACAGTATGCTTTAATCACCTTTGAATTCTTTCTCTGTGGTAGAATTCATCTAATCCTGGATCATGAATCTAAATCTGGATACAAGTTGTAATTTATGTGTATTACCAGAAACATTTGGGGGAGGTACTAAGTCGGCTTGAGATTGCTCCAAGCAAGATGACCCTTGGTTCTGCATAAAGTTCATTCAGGAGACAAACCCACTCCAAGAAGTCTTAGGCCACATAAATTGTATCAAAGATTGTGCACATCCCCTTCAGGTAATCCTGCCTGAGTGAATTAGAATTTCCCGGACCACTTAGACCCAACATCTAGAACTACTTTGTTTAGTCTGTGCTACAAATACCAAAGCACTTTCATGTGCATCTTCTCACTGGGGCTTCACCTAGCCCCAACTATGTTCTTACTGGCTACAGAAAATTCACTGCCTAGATGACCCTCCATCTGCTCAACATAAACCGGCCCAGAAATGAATCCTCACCTCCTCCCTTAAGCTAGTTCCTTTCCCTGGAACTTAGTTTGACAATTTTGTCAAATCATCCTATTTACCCAGGCTCAAAAGCTCAGTACCATTTTTAATTTTCCTTTGTTTCATTCTGTATATTCTATCAAATATTATTTCTTCAAAATGTCCATCTTAGTTGCATTTTTTTCCCAAGTCATTGACACCATCATAGCTGAGGTTGTCTCATATCTTGATAATGACAATAGCCTGTCATAATTATCACTATTTATTTGTCTACATTAGTAATGCTTTTTTTCTCCGCCAGTTTATTCTTTAGTCCTGCACCAAGCCCAAGTAAAGTCATCCTTCATCCATGAGGAATCCCTCAATGCCCAACTCTTATTAAAAATCATTTTGTCTTAACTAGTATGACATTTATTATCTCTACAGTTCAATTCAGTACTACATGATTTTCTACTTATGTTATTATTTAGATTTCTTATGTCTCCAAATTATAATCTATAGTATAAAGTAATTTATTTCATACTCTTCTCCATCTCAAAACTATTAAGTTTTTTTTTTAATTTTTAAACACACTGCAAGTATCATTATCAATTTTGTCATTTTATACTCCAAAATATCAGGCTTTGCTACAGCAATACTGCTAATGGTGTTCAAGCTCTGTCTCCTAATGAAGTACATGCAAATATTAATTATTTCTATTCATTATTTAATTATGTGGCTGTGCTATTATAAAATCTAAGAAAGATCCATGGAAGATGTGCACAGTTCAGGTGACATTTATCCCTGCTTGATGTGTCATTGCCATTTTCGTGAACAGCCCCAAATTCTTGCCTTGTGTACTATGTTTAATCAACACGTTCATATAATTTCCTTAAAAGAATGGTTCTAACAAGTCTAACAAGACTTTGAAACTCTAGGGTATTAATGACCCAACACTAAATTTTTGATTCCAAAAGAATAATTTCTGAGGCTGCCTTGTCCAGCCTAGTTGGAATGTAAAAATGAAGAGCCCCTGGCCCAAGCTCAAATTTGAAGCAAGTTTCCAGATATCTCTGCTATTTCCTCCTCTTGAATTCCCCTGATATGACACTGAAGTAACATTAAACTCCTGCCTCAAGTCATAGTTCCACATCACTAAAGCTCTCAGAAGCCTCAATCAAAGCAGAAGTGTCTTGGGGCAAATGTGT